ACCCAACAGGTCAAAAACTTCAACAGAAATTGGTAAAGGTTGACTGCTCGTGCGGTGCTCCTATATGTGCAGTGAGATGTTCTCATTTCAGGGTAAAGATAGCTCCAAGTCCCTGAAGCCTTGCTTCCACAAACCTTCAGAAATGGTTCCTAGAACGCATATATATTTATTCATGGTGCCTGTCAAACAAAGAAGGTGAAAAGACCTGCTCTGCACTGACTGAACCAACCTCTCAAATGATACCACAAAGAAAATATATAAAGAGAGATGAATGCAGCACAACACAGCTTGAAGGTCACTCAGATCCAGCTGGCTCTCCTCCACTCCCGTCTGGACGTCGCCTCTGGAAAAGGTCATCCTCTTGTCTGAGCTTCCTTTTCTAGGTTTCGCTTTTCTCGCTTTTTTTGAATGACAATCCATTACACTCTGCGGTCTTATCATAACCAGCTCAACCTTTGACCCTGGATTTCACAAGCTCCCCTGACACCGTGGTCACTCATGTGGAAAATACGGTTACCCGTCCATATTTCAAGAGTTTCTGAGAAATGAAAGTGTGAAATAAGTTCAGAGTATGATTCATTTACCGAAGACTTGAGTGATTCACCCCGAGAGAGCTGATGGAGCGGGTGACATCATGAGCTGAACCGTCATTTCAAACTCTGCGGTGTTCGCATCGCTTTGTTGTACAAGTGTGACAGTCTCATTGGGAACGCTTGACAGAGTTCTTTTAATAATTTAGCAGCAAATAAAAGCCATATTGCAGAAAATTGCCTTCACTGCACCATCAAGCCCTTACTGCTGGAATCTTGATAATGAAGTCATGGGTTAGATCAGTTTTAGAGAGCGTGACTTTAAAGAAAAACATTACATCATCAATTAAAGGGCTTGTGGTTCCTATTATAGACGCTTTCCATATAAATGCATTTGACTAGCTTCTGGCATATATAGTAAACATGACAGCTCTAACATCACTTGTTTAATGTAATGGTAACTGAATTCATAATTAGGACTCAAAGCATCCAAAACATTTATTGGCGCTGTAAATGCAGAGGTCAGGAGGATTTATAGATCTTATTTCAACATAGCTTAATTCAGGCAGTTTCACAGCATCCATTTTAAGATGTGTTCCTTGTGTGAAATGCACACGGGTTTTATTAGCGAACTACAGTGACAAGCATGATAAATAAAAGAAACGACACTGCAGTCTGTTGCATCTGGAAAGACCTTCAGAAGAGAATGAGTCGTGTTTTCTGAGACCTCTGACTGCAGAATAGAGGTGTCAGGAGCTAATACAAAAGTAGAATTAAAAAGATAAATCTCTTGTCTCTGCCATTACGGATAGTCTGACGCTCCGAGCTGTGCTTTGGGGGTCGATAATAGCTTGAACTATTGGTGGGATACCTCTGCTCTATAGTGATTGTTGTATAAGATAACTCCTGTGATGTTTGTGAATGCATTGTGTCCATTTAAAAAGGTACCAGTAATGACGTCGTATCCACTTTGACCAGTGTGCTAGTGTTCTCTGCCAAAGTTTTATCTAGTTTCCAGCCACATTTTACGATACGCCTTTAAGATCTTGACGTTTGTATTGTATCCAAATGAGGGATTTTATTCTTTGGACTTCTGAATCTTATGTTATCAGAAACACAAGCTGTGTAAACGTTAGTGATGTTTGATCACCAGTTCTGATTGTGTTTGATCTCTCAGGATCGTTTCGCTCCTGGTAGAAACCTCCTGGAACAATGAACACTGAAGGAATCATAACTAATGAAAACTGACTGCAATGCTGCTGAAGACATCAACTCCCATGATCTCATACTACTTCAATATGCCACCAAACTACATCTTTTGTTATTGTTTTAAATAAATACAAAACCTATTGGCAATAAAATACATATTTAACTTGTTGAGGGAGTTTAACTTCCCTCTGGTCAACAAAGAGTATGCAGAATTCACAGTTCTCCGCTTTCTTTCTCGGAAGCAATTTAAAAAAACACGATTTCACAAATACCCAAAGCAGCCACCCTCCCATCCTCTCGCTCCCTGTCTGTCCCTGCAGCTTCAGCAGACACGTGTGGGCGGTTATTGTTGTTTTGATGGAGCTAATTTGAATATGCGTCTGCGGCTTGTGCCTTTGGATTTATTCTCCAAACAATATCAGGGGCATTTGTTTGTGTCTGAGCCTGAGTGACTCTCAGCAATCACACTGACAGGAGAATGTTTTTCATTTTAGATCACGGCAGATAATGCACATGCAAGCTCTGACAATAACCAAACTTGTTTCTGCTGAATGCTTACTGATTATCTACTCTACCCTCCCTTTTGTAATTCACATCTTGCCTTTGTGTGGCATTGAAGAGGTTGAAGAATTACTCAATATCTTAGAGTGTAGTAGTATTGTAGCTACTATCCTGATTTAGTACATTTGAGGAATTCAAAAACTCAGACAGCGCTTGTTTATTCAAACTGACCTGGTTGTTCAGGTTGTTTTATTGTCTGAATGGAGAAGGCAGAGCTTGTTTCATGCCTCGGTAACATATATTATTATTTTATAAAGGGAATGGACTTGCGTAAATATCGATCAACATTCATTTTTGTAATTACGTGATGTAGTGGGATTGTTAGCAGAATGTATTGCACAATATAACAAATTGCAAGTGATTTCAGACAGAGCCATTGCATTCAATGGTATGAACACAATGCAATTTGCTGTTCAGCTATTCCTTTTTAACACTAGAACCGCCAGAGGTCGCTGTATACCTAAAACCGCCAACGGGTAAAATGTACCCGCTATTGATTTTCATGGTACAATGTTATTTTATTTATCATACAGAACAGTGAGTTTTGATCGCACAGGGATGAAACGTATACCAATAGAATCTGTGGACTCTCAGCTTTTCATATGACATAGTTTGTGCAGATAACATGAAGTATAAAATATCGCTAAGGGTGCTGATTTAAACGCTTGGTGTTAGACTTGTGTTTTGTTTAGGTACAAATCTCTCTGTCTATCTATAACTATCTATCGATCTATCCGTAATGTTCTGTTCTATGGACATATAATTGTCTACATAAACAGACGACGCGAACTACTTCTCTCATTCCGAGTGTCCATCTGTATTCAACTGGCACGTAACCTGCACACATGTATTACGTCCTCAACGTGAGCTCAGTCATCCAAGATCTTGTATTCTCCAATATGTTACACTATCTATAACTATCTATCTGTCTATCTCTCTGTCTATCTATCTATCTATCTATCTATCCCTCTCTCTCAATCTATCTCTCTATCTATAAGGAACCGCAGTAGACAAAAGGCGTTGCTATAGCAACACGTCATGTTTACGCTGCATTTTCTATGAGGTAAATATTACCCGCTGGCGGATATAGGTAGCCTATAAATGGCATTTTTTTGGCGATTTTTTCAATCTGACTTCATATTGACAATTGTTAACAACAGAGGGTGCTACATAACACACTTTCAGGAAAAGTCACGGACTGGGAGACTTTAATATGTTATTGAAATAAAGTTAGGCCTACATACTGTAGCGATCCTGATAGGCTACTCAGGGTGTCACTTAGGCATCCCCCGTCTCTCTGCCAATCATAGAGCTGCACCGTGATGGTGGCTGAGGTGCGGGCCTGTGGTTGGTGGAGCGGACGGGGGAGGGCGGGGAGTTGTGACGTAGACAGTGCTATATCTTGTGGTTGGTTTAGGAAATAAGTTAGTGTGCGGTAGAACCCACGAAGTGTACTTGACCTGTTATCATCTGTCTTCAAACTAGTTATTAAAGCCTAATAACTACAAGCCTGTCTCCGACTCATCTTGGGAACGTTACATTGGTGTCAGAAGTGAACTTTTTCGAACAAGGGACGTCTATCCGGACGAGAGTCGTAACTGCGTCACGGAGCTAGCCGGTAAGCTAGCGGGGATGGATAAGTTCAGCAAGATGGGAGTGAAGCAGGAACACAGTAGTGATGAAGAGGAAGATGGAGCATGCGGGTGGTCGAAGGACATGAGAGAGGAGTTCATGAGTGCACGGGAGGTGAGAGAGCGCCTGAGAGAGTCGGTGGTGAGGATGGCTAGAGACGCGGGAATGTCTCCGTCTTCTGCGACAGTTCGCGCCATTTCCAAGCTGGAGGTAAACAACAATGGCGGCGCCCATCAACCCGCAGCAGCCTCCGCCGGGTCAGTGAAAACACCCAAATTATCGGGTAAGGCAGACTGGGAGGCTTTCCATGCCCAATTTGAACTGCTTGCTCATGCCGGGGGGTGGTCAGTAGAGACTAAAGCACTACAGCTAGCTTTGTGCCTCACAGAAGAGGCTCTTTCATGTCTGCTACTACGTAGCCCTGTGGACTGACTCAGCTATGGAGCGTTAGCGGGGGCTTTGAAGAGGCGGTTTGGACAGTGTTTCCCGCCAGAGCTGCTCCGGAACGAGTTAAGTAACCGCTGTAGAGAGTTTGGAGAGACGCTGCGTGCACTGGCTAACAACGTGGAGAGCCTGACGCGGCGGGCGTATGCACACATGCCACCCGGAGTACAGAGTGAGCTGGCACGTGATCAGTTCATCAGGGCCCTCCGGCCTGCGGACTTGAGGGTCGAGGTACAGCTGCAGCATCCACAGTCCTTACAGGCGGCCTTGGAGATGGCCGTGCAGTGTTAATTTTGGCAGCTATTTTTGAGTTAGTCTTAGTCTTTAGACGAAAATGGTTATTAGTTTTAGTCATTTCTATCCTTTATAGTTTTAGTTGACGAAAACTCAAAACGTTTTAGTCTAGTTTTAGTCGACGAAAACTCAAAACGTTTTAGTCCAGTTTTAGTCGATGAAAAATTACATTTTTAGTTAACTTTAAGTCAAATGTTTTCTCTCTTTAAACCAATTCAGTTAGGCAAATACAGGTATCTGAAATTGGAATCAAGGTGACCGTATCAAGTGTTGAAATTTGTAAAGCAACATTTCACTCTCTTAACCCTTTACTTAGTTAGTTTGATATCTCTAGCCTAGACTCTCACATTGGTGCAATACTGTTGTGTTGTCCTTGCTGATCCTCTAAGGTAAGGATAGTGCATACACATAGATACAAGTGGTACTGGTAACATAGTGGAATGTTCTTTACTCCAAGTCAAGAACCAAAACATTATTTTTTTTAGCCTTCTTATATTTATTTTCCGAAACCTCCAATAAAAGTGAAGACACGTATGCCCAAAACAGAGCAATAAATGATGAACAATGACATGACACCTGAAGTTTTGGATCACGAAAATTACAGACTTGAGTTAGCTCAGTGACTCAAACTGTAGTCCATTGTAGACTCTCTACATTTATCAATGGTGTGTCAGTAACTTGTCAGAACAGAGGGTCATCCCTCACAAGATGCAGTGCAAAGCAGTAACTTGTATAAATTATAAAGTATAAATTGTTGTATAAAACTATCCCTCACCTTAACATTATACGTTTCTGTACCTACAAATAAAATAAAAATGTTGAAAGTGCATACAGTACATACCTATAGAATAAGATTAAACTTGGCCTTATAAACAATCAGAGGGAACCACCTCTGTAGTGCACTCTCATATAAAGTAACAGACAAAGTACAGACATCCGTAGTAGCATTAACAACCTTTTAGCCTACTGATCTCTATTCAGTTTGAGGAAAGCACTTCTCTCTAAAATGACTCTTGCTCTATTTCGACGGCCACGAGTGAGGTCACCTGTGATGCTAAAAACTCGCTCAGCAAATGCTTGAGATGCTGGCATTGCCAGAACATCCAAGGCAAGAGGTTTTAGGCTCTGATAAACAGAACCCTGTGCAGCCCAAAAGTCAAGAGCAGTCTCTTTGTTCATGGGCTGTGACAGCTGCTCCTTGAACTTCAGCATTTCCTGCCTGACACAGGGCTTTGAGACTGAGAGGCTAGATCTAGATGGCCGGCTTGCACTTGCTTTTGACAGGAATCTAAATCTCGGCCGCTTTGTCTCTGGTAGTGGTACCTCTCTCCTTTCTTCTTCATCCTCATCAGTCTCCTCCTCCCGTATTACTGGTGACACCATCTGAGCAATGTAATCTTCTGCTTTTCTCAGAAGCTCCTGGATTTGTACGTCGTCATGCTCATTTTCAATGAGTGCTTCGGCTGAGACTGTAGGGTCGAGGAAGCATGCTGCAGCAATGAGGGGAGAGAATTTTGTATCACTGGGATCAAGAAAGCAGCTGAAGCGTTGGCCCATGTTTTCCTTCATCTTCTGTGACAGGGAAGCTAGGTCCCTGTGGCAAGAACCCTGGGCCTCAGGGAACTCAGAGAGGTGAGCATTCAGGTCCAGGAGGGCGGGCAACACCAGGGATAAGGACATTGTGTCACTCTGGAGCATCTGGGTGTGCTCAGCAAAGGGGAGGAGCAGATCTCTGAGAGCAGTGAGCTTCTGCCACTCACTTGGCAGTAGACAGTCCCAGCCCATTCCATCAGCTACCTGAACAAGGGAGTCCTTCACTTGGAGAAGGCGTGATATCATCAGGTATGTGCTGGACCATCTAGTAGGGCAGTCTTTGACCAGAGTGAGTCCACACAGCTTTAGCAGTCGCTGAATTGCCACAGACGACTTGCGGAAGAGCCGGACAAGTACTCGTATTCTGTCAAGGAGTGGTTTGACACTCAAATCTTTCTGGATCATGTTCACCACGAGTTGCAGTGTATGCACAACACAGGGGGTCCTCTCTATGGCTCCGTACCTAGATAAACAAACACAGAGAAAAAGACAAATACTTTATTAATCCTCTAGGAAATGTAATTGCCATGAGCAACACAATGCGATACAATATACAACGTATTAACACACATCTTTACATCTATACTTATTATGATCCATACCGTTACACTGTCACATTTCTGGCTGTACATTTGGTTTTGTACCAAGTTACTGTTGATCTTTTATACTCTAATATTTAGTTTATACTTGAAGTCTATATATTTGCACTATCTTACTTTTTTACCACAACTGCTGCAAAATAATTTCCCTCTGGGTAAATAAAGTAATATAAATGCTAAAAGAGAATATAACCAAGCACAGCTCAATGACATGATCTATGTCATTGAGCCTGCTACTGAAAATACTGAAAATATTAACAGCTACAAACTAAAAGAATGTACCTTCGGTCTTCGACAACCTCAGAGTCTTCCTCATCACTCTCCTGGGATTCTTCCTCAGAGCTGCTGGGCTCATCATGTACAGTTTTTTTGAATGCTGCAACCATGTTGCTTCCGTTATCTGTTATGACTGTCAGAATTTTGTGTTTTGGTATTCCCCAGTCCTCTGTGCATTGTTCCACACAAGTCTTTATAGACTCTGCAGTGTGTGGGTGGGAGATCTGGTCAAGTCTCAACAATATGTGCTTCGCTTTATTCTCCTGAGTGCAAAAGTAACATGCACTAATTGCCAGGAATGATGCTGTAAACCCTTTTTTTGTCCATATGTCCAGCCCAATTGTTACTTTGCGTGCTGTGGCGAGTCTTTCTTTGAATTTTTGTTTCTCGTCAATGTAAAGCTTGTCAACTAAGTTGTTTATTTTTGTTTTTTTGGGTATGTTCAGCCTCTTATCGAAGGTCTCTATCATAAGGATGAAATCCTCATCCTCAACTGTACGGGCAGGTAGACCGGTGCGACCAATCCACTGGGCAATGACCTTTTCTTTGGTGCCTTGTTCCAGCAAGTCTGCTTTATATTTTGGTCCTGAGGAAGAGAACGCTGCTGGGATAGTTGACTGTTTATTCTTTGCACCAGGGTGCTGTTTTGGAGTACTCGTCTCTGGGATCTAGGTGAGGAAAAATAAGATTGCATAATTACTCCCTATACAGAACTACAACGCCTACAGATGAATTCCAATTAATTAAATGTAGGCTAATCCCTTTAAAATATGCCTTTGGTAATAGTATTATCATTAAAATATAGTATATCAATAATATCAAGTTTAGATTTTGAAGATTCTAATTATGTGATAATACAATACAACTAGCCTATTATATATGCCTACCTGGCCTTAGAGATAAGAAAGTATTTTCCAAATAAATTGCCGTGTACTCTTAAAAAAACACACAATAATTGCAGTGACTAGATAGTTATTGCAATGCAAGCCCAGCCAACATTAGCCTGGAACTTGCCAGAAGCATTCATTTGCTACCGGAAACTGAAAACGTGTTTGCAAGAAAGGCTAAGCTAACATAGATAGTTAGTACATTTGCCTCTAGTAACTAGTGACTAGCCAGCAGTCTGCATTGGCAATGGCAACTTGCCAATGCAGACTGCCCAGTAACATAGACTTAACGTTAGCAAATGTATATGCTTAGTTAGTGTTACCACATACGAGTTAGTTACGACTTATCATGTAACGTTACAGTTAGCTAACTTACCGTGGCATAAATAGCAGGATGCTGCGCCTTCAAGTGCCTCTTCAGGTTAGTCGTATTCTTCCCAACTAATTTGAAGCCACATGGCGTCTCTCCTTCTCCCGCAGTTGCAGTGCAGTGTGTTTTATTTTCTACCGAGTTATAAAGAAAGTTGGTCCATATATCTATTCTTTTTTTGCGACCAAAAACTAAAAGCGCTTTCGCTGAATCCGTCATCTTCACTGTTTGGATATCATCACCACCTGTGCTGCTGCAGTGAAGCTGGGGTGGGCGGGGGTGAGTGAGGTGTGCAAATTCCCAGAATCCCAAATAATTCAACCAATGACAGGGATGCATTTTGAAAGAGAAGACGGACAATTGGAGGAAAATAATATCCTGCATTTTTAATGTCCGATAGTCCACCCTTAACACCTTCGTCTCGTCTCGTCTCGTCAACGAAAACTACATTTACATTTCGTCATAGTTTTCGTTATCAAGAATCTATTTTTAGCTCGTCATCGTCTCGTCTTAGTCATGTAAAAAAGGTCGTTGACGAACATTTTTCGTCATAGTTTTCGTTAACGAAATTAACACTGTGGCCGTGGAGAGGGAGAACGTGTGGAGTGGAGCTGCTAGGAGCGGCGGAGTGCCGGCGGCGCCAGCGGTGAGGAGCTGCAGGGAGGAGGAGAAGCCTGCATGGGTTACCGAGCTGACAGAGATGATAAGGGCTGTTTCTCTGCAGCCAACACACAGACCAGACACCAGAGTCTGCTGGGAGTGTGGTCAGCCAGGACATTTTGCCAGAGACTGCACCAAGGCTCTGCGACGCCAGGGAAACGACGGGGGGCCCGCATAGAGGAGGATATGTGGAACCAAGCCCGAAGACTCCCCAAACAAACCACAGCTTTATTGCCACCGACTCAGACATCCGCGGAGGGAGCCCGACAGCACAGCAGGGGGAGCCAGACTCTACGCCCTCCTGAAAAAGATGACAGCACCGGAGTGGAGCCTGTCGTCGCGGTGGGCCGTGCTGGTGGGGACTCCTGCTATGTCCCTGTCGAGGTGGAGGGGGTGCCCTGCAATGCACTGGTGGACACAGGCTCTACAGTAACCCTGGTGAGAGCAGAGGTGTTGTCCAGTGGGACTATGTTCGAGCCAACAGCGGTGCGTCTGCGCACAGTCACCGGAGAGTTGGCGGCTATGAAAGGAAGAGGAGTGCTGTCTGTGTCGGTGGTGGAAGTGCGGCACCCCGTGTGGATAGCGGATGTACAGGACCCGTGCATTCTGGGTTTGGACTTTCTGAAGGTGACGGGCTGCCTCCTGGATCTTCAAGCCGGCACAGTGAGTTTCGGGGGGGGCCTGTAATTACTATGACCCGTGTCCACAACCCTGCTGAGCCTGCGGGGAGACCCCCGACACCCACCGTGAGTACCCTAGACACGGAAGCAAACCCTCCCTCCCTTCCTGTACCCACGGTGATGCCCACTCAGGACAATTCCCCACCTGTCACCCCCGGGCTGCGCCACCCGAGCACAGCCCCCCCCCAAGTACCCCAGACGGAGGTAGAAGAGGCTCGGTCTGCAGTATTGGAGGTGTGGAGGAAGAACTGTGGCGGCCTGAATCCCGAGCAGCAGGAGCAATTGGGGCAGCTCCTGCTAGAGTTCCAGAGCAGTTTCGCCATGAAGGAGGAGGAGGTGGGCCGAACGCATCTGGTGGAACACGAGATCGATACGGGGGACTCGCGGCCCATCAGGTGTCGCCCGCGGCGACTCCCCCTGGCTCGTCAGCAGGCTTGCGACGAGGCAGTGCAGAGCATGCTGCAGGCAGACATCATCGAGCATGGCTCCGGTAGTCATGGTCCCGACCATGATGTCTGTCTCGATGATGTCTGCCTGCAGCATGCTCCGGTAGTCATGGTCCCGAAGAAGACAGGGGGCTGGCGGCTGTGCTCAGACTACAGACCGGTGAACGGGGTCACCAAGAAGAATTCATACCCCCTTCCCCGCATCGATGAGTCCCTGGACCTGGTCGCAGGGTCGTCGTGGTTCTCTTCCTTGGACCTCCGCAGCGGGTATTACCAAGTCCCTCTTGCCCCGGAGGCCAGACCAAAAACGGCTTTCTGCACCGGCCGAGGACTATGGCAGTTCAAGGTCCTCAGTTTTGGGCTGTGTAATGCCCCGGCCACCTTCGTGCGGTTGATGGACAGGGTGCTGTCTGGGATTCCCCGCCAACAGTGTTTGGTTTACCTGGACGACATCCTGGTGCATGGCAGCTCGTTTGAGGCGGCCTTAGGATCGCTAAAAGTGGTGATGGAGAGGATCAGAGCCGCTGGGTTGAAGCTACATCCAGATAAGTGCCATTTCCTACAGAGAGAGGTCACCTTCCTGGGCCACAAAGTGGGGTGGGAGGGCATCGGCACCCTGCACGAGAAAGTGCAGGCGGTCACAGGCTGGCCAAATCCTCGCAACCAGAAACAGCTGAAGAGTTTCCTGGGCCTGGCCTCGTACTACAGGAAGTTTGTACGGGGTTTTGCCTGCATTGCCGCACCCCTGTTCCAGCTGCTGCAGAAGGACAGGGAGTTCCTGTGGTCTGAACAATGTCAAGCAGCGTTTGACGGCCTTCGGCGTGCCCTGAGCGAAGCCCCGGTTCTCGTCCCAGCCAACCCCCGGCTGCCGTTCACCCTGGACACCGACGCTAGCGGCGTTGGTGTAGGCGGAGTGCTCTCCCAGACTACACCAGAGGGGGAGCGGGTGGTGGCATACTTCAGCCGGGCGTTCAACAAAGCGGAGCGACGATACTGCGTTACCCGCAGAGAACTTTTGGCAGTGGTGCTGTCCATCAAGCACTTTAAGTACTACCTGTGCGGGCAAGCGTTCACGGTGAGGACGGATCACTCTGCATTACAGTGGCTCATGACGTTCAAAGAGCCAGAAGGGCAGGTCGCCAGGTGGCTAGAAGAGCTCCAAGCTTTCGACTTCAGGGTGGAGCACCGGGCTGGGGTGCGCCACACCAATGCAGACGCCCTCTCCCGGCGGCCGTGTGCCGGCGGCGGATGCCACTACTGCGAGAAGAGAGAGACTCGCGAAAAGGAGCTGCTGGAGGTAAATATCGTCTGTGCGGCAGCGCAGCAAGTGGAAGAGGTTATCTGCAGGGAGCTCCAGACAGTGGATGCGTCAGAGTGGAAGCAACAGCAAGAGCTGGACGCCGTTCTTCAGCCTGTACTGCAGTGGGTTGAGTCGCAGCAGCGGCCACCGTGGGAGGAAGTGGCAGCGCTCTCCAAAGCAACAAAGGGGCTGTGGTCTCAGTTTGAGTCTCTACGTCTGTGTCAGGGCGTACTGCAGCGGGCGTGGAAGGAGCCAGCAACGGGGGAGAAGAGGTGGCAAGTGGTGGTTCCTAGGGTCCTGCAAGAGGTCGTACTCAAGGCCATGCATGGCACGGCAGGCTCTGGTCACTTTGGAGTCACTAAGACCCTCCGCCGCCTTCGTCAGGGCTGCTACTGGGGACAGTGCAGGAGGGATGTCGAAGACTTCTGTCGCCGCTGTGATCCGTGTACGGCACGAAAGGGCCCCCCGGGGCGTTCCCATGCTCTGCTGCAACAATCTCCCGTCGGGGACCCGATGGAGAGAGTAGCGGTTGATGTGGTGGAGCCGCTACCCTTGTCAAACAGGGGTAACCGCTACGTTCTCACGGCCATAGACTACTGTGGATAGAGGCGTATATGCGCTCCCTGACCAAGAAGCAGAGACAGTCGTGGATGCCTTGGTGTCCGGCATGTTCAACCGGTTTGGAGTACCGGAGACCCTGCACAATGACCAGGGGAGGAATTTCGAGTCCCGGGTGTTCGCCTCCATGTGCTCTCAACTGGGCATTC